AGCCTAAAACAGTCCACTGCTGGACATAGACTTCTCCTTAGCAAGGAGGTTATATAATAAAGAAGTTATGAACATGTAATCTATTTTTTTACCATTAAAAATGAAATGAATACATATAACATTCTGCAAGAGAATATACTATCAAACATACGTGTAATGTTTAACACGTTATTATTTTGTTTACGTGCATACGTTGGTAAATTGAAATACCTAAAGAATGATAAGAAAATAGGCACAATAAAAACTGCACCTGAATGTACTGGCGAATTGGCACATTTACGATCATCAGTGCTTTGGCCTTACAAATATTTTTACGATTACGAACGATACGTTCGATAATAGGTATATTTAGATAAGAATGCTATTGTTTGCAAATGTATAACCTAATGATGACGTATTTACTGCCTGTAGATGCCTCTTTATAGATTTTTTATTCTGCTTATTTCATGTTAACACTTAACTTCTTGGCTAATTATTTTTGATGTCTAGTTCGTCACATGCCGATCGTCGTATGTATAAGTAATTAATAAGTGCATTCACTTTAGAGAGATTAAAATGTAGCGATTATTTACGAAAAGCGAAAAATTAAACAACGCCAGAACAAACCGTAAAGGATGCTATCAATGGTAATATTTGAGAGTTTCTCTCTTTCCGTGAAAATTAATAACTTGTTGAAATGTTTGTTTTTTTTTCTTGAGATTTCTTTTCGTAATTTATAATATTCTGGAAGTTTATTTCTGATAAACTCAAAATCCAAATCATTTAATAAGATTTTCTTCCTTCCCTCTCCTCTTTTTATCACGCGTAGCAAAGTTACGTGTTAAAATTAAAATTACGTAGTTTGCCTTCTGTGTACTGGGAACACCCGTAAATGAGTGAAAATATATTAAAATGAATAAAAGGACTAAAAGTATCGGAATCACTTCAACTTATCGGTCAAGTCTTCGACACATTTCAAGCGTGGATTATGTTGGAGTTATCCTTTTTTGTCGCGCCTCTTAAGATATACAGTGAAAACAATATTTTACGTTTGAGTAGCTCTCGTGTTTTTAACATTTTTTCAAAACATAGAAATCACAAAATCTCCGCAACGAAGGACAGACGTCTTGAGTTGACATGGTGGGTGGTGAAAATCATTATTATCAATTTTTTCGTGCTAAGAGATTCTGGTATACCTATGCAGCCGTCAACACACTTATCGAATCTCCAAGTAACTAGTTCATACTGATGTGTATTTTGTAAACATTTAACTTTGAATTCTATATTTATGATCAGACCAATTCATTATTTTATTGAACGTACAATTTTTACAATCATCATTAAACAATGTACCGAAAACTTTAAACATGCGTTATGTTACGTTACGTTAGTATTAAAATCCTTATTATTTATTTTAACTAATACAAGACAATTATTTATCATAATATAAGAAGACAACAAACCTCATAAAGATCCAATCTTTAAGACCAAACTCAACCGAGAGTTAGACATTATACACAACTTCCTTAGTTTAGCCAGGATGGTTTTCAGGTGCTTTAAATCTTAAGTGTAACTAAAACTATTGAGGTCTAAAACTTATTTCATTTTTATAAATTTTCAAAAAAGTATTGTTATGAACGTCATATAACAATGTGAATCCAACAACTTATTGACATCTACATATCTTCGTTTGCCAGTCATAATAACAAATGCAAAAGCAAAACTATTAACAAACACCTGTGCATCAGACCGATTCCAGTACTCCAGCTTCACAGAAAAACCAACATGGAGGTACAATGTTATCATACATCCCCATGTGGGAGCTGCTGATAACTGCGCCAATGTGTCGCACAGATTTGCGAACAAATGCTAGCTTCCTCACACGTGCATCGGTATGGGAACCGGCACCGATGCAGTTGCACCGCACATGGCGAGATAACGACTGTTTTATGAAATGTTTTACAACTAGCGCTTATAGCTTTCTAAAGAAAGGTGATCGCCAAATGTGGCCGAACGTTTCCGTCAAACATACAGGCAGGCTACCAATAAAGTTCAGTAATAAATGCCTTATTGTTTCCTCATACTAGGTAATTATGAAAATGGTGGAAACCGCTGCCATCTGGGTGGGTTTGCAACACGTGCATTTTAAACAAAACAAATAGCTAACATTTGGCGAACGGCTGGTCTTATCTACAGCGGAGTAATCCTGCATTTGATTGAATTATGAAGAATAGCCATCAGGTAACAATTGAATACAAAGAAAACCTATAATAGAATCGTAATTGTTTACTGTGTGAACCATCTTTAATTGGTACGAAGCCTTGTTAAAAACAGAAAAAAAGAGTATCACTATACAAGTCAACACAGAAGCTTATTTAAATTGACCATAATAAATAGGTACTGTTATAAACATACTTGTAGTTTATACCACAATCTCGAAAACTATTCGTAGAGATGGTATGGTAATAATTCTAACTTCCTAATGAATTGAGGAAGAAAACTTATAAATAAAAAAGGAGCAAGTATAAATCGATTCAATTCAAAATAACAGCTATTTGACACGAATAAATGAGAAGAAGTACAAGCAGACGGAGTCCGCGATCAGACGGAATAGCAGACACCTGGCGCGAGAGGCCGAAACGACAAATCATTCGCGGTGACGAATGTTAACCACACAGTCATTACGGTGCAACCGGCTTATTAGGGGCCCGATTTTAAATGACCAAACGATAGACACTAATCGTTATCTCGGTCTTGTTGCCAATAATTAATCATAGACACTGGACCACCTTTATCACTCTAAAACACAAGTAGAAACCATTACGTTTTGTTTAATACTTTTTTGGACAGCAGCTTCACTAACATCAATACAGATTTTGTTAATCAATTTGGTTTGCCTATCCCCAGAGAATAGTATTTTTAGCTGATATCGGAGACAACTCTACAAGAATCTGAATTCCGAAATGCGAATTAAGGACGAAGCCTACATAAAAAATAAAGAGAAGAGGGTGAAAAAACATGTAAGACTTAAACAGCAACTTCATTTTTTTTTTTATTACGAACTAAAATGATCGGTAAAAAGGGCTCTCCTAAAATTAGACGAAGATAAATGTAAACCTTTTCGAGGATCAAAACCCTTTATGATGAACGCTCATCTCCCAAATCAAGTGGTCAACAAAAGCGTACAAAGTTTTACACTGATCCTTAACGTTCACGTTCTTAATAAATTATGCAAGTAATAAAATCTCATTCTGTGTTCGCTACAAAGCTGTCCCTCTCGAGCACGCAATTTCTCAAAACATTGTCGCGTCATTTTTCATTGCATCAATCAGGCCGCTTCTATGGACAAGTCTAAGATACTTTAGGGATGTCACATAGAACAATATTTGCCAAATGTACATGAATTATTTTGGCATGAGTACAAAGAATACATTTTGAATAATTTGACTAACGTGTTGATCTCATTATAATCTACTAAGTAACGACACATTTGGAGTATATACAAACATACATACTCTGACTCTAAGTTTGGTTCGACTATACAGAAGAGGCATAGGCGGATCAAATAGCCAATTTTCATCTAATGGGTACTCCTATTTCAGTTAGCCTTAGGAGAACCCTATTGATGTTTGCATGGTGAATTAATTGATCAACAAAAGATAAACGTGAACCGAATCTCTGCTCAGGCAGAATCTGAAAAAGGTAGACTCTACAACTATTTATGAAGGTGCTGACAGTAAACAAATTATTCAACAGAAATCTTTAAAGATAACATTTATTTCTTGGACACAATTGTTCAAGCATTGCACGATTTGTATGATAGCATCTCCACGTTCGTAAGGTAAAAACATAAGTACTAAGATACGTGCCTCATATTATGAGTTTCCAGAAACACAATCTGGTACATCCTTGAAGTTTCTCGCAGAGTTGTCTCATCAAGAGTTAAATAGAGTGTGAGCCAATGAATATTTTTATTGACGCGCCTGCCGAGTTTACATGGGATCTTTGCCTCGCAGATAACAAGATCATCTGAATTTGTATCTTGACACAATAACATAAGATCGGTTTTCAGGTATTGGCATTAAAATTACAATTTTTCAAATAAAACTGTGTGTTATTTAAGGTGTAGATAGAATTCAAAATAAAAATAAAATAAAGTGCTGTATGTCATACAAGACGAAAGGCATCTCATGGAAGTGACTGAGATCTGCGGGAGGATACGTTTCTTTCTTGTCCGTTTCTTATGCAAATATTGACACAGTACTGCTATCATTAATCAGGCGGAATGTCGGGGGTTTAACAATGAACACTGAATGTGCCCAGATGTGAAATGTTTCACGTGCATACTTTGTTCGGTCGATATCAATCAAGTCATTTATTGCCAGTGTGCTTGTTCGTTAGAATAATATTATTCACTGTATTGTAGAGACTACAAAGTAGGGCCTTAGGCGGTTTCAGTTATCGATTGTCTTTGAATTTAAGGTCTCGACAATTTTCTATATATATTTATTTATATAAATATAGTAGTAGAGACTTTAGTTCATTCTCCTAGCTATATTATTTCTTCTCTCGATCACGAGACGTCCGTCGATATAAGACCAACAACGGTCTGATTACCAGGACTTTATAGAAGGCATTATTATTTAGAACATTATGAAATGTTATAAAAAAAAGGTAATCGGGTCCAGAGTTTGATGGTAGATGTTAGACGGTTCACACCTTATTTGTAGTTCTATTGCTTAGCCTATCTTAACATCAGTACTATAATTGACAAAGTATAAGTATTTTTATGTTGCCATCAAGCTAATGCCAAAAAAAATAATAATCTAACTAACCCAAATTCAACAAATTTAGAACGCAATAAAGACCCCCTTTATCTCGGTAAGAAACCCACACAAAACCGTCTTAGTTTACTCTTTAAACGTTAAGCTTAGTTTTATCTATTTCTAAAATCATAAGTTTTAAAATGTTAAAGCAAAAGCTACATTCTCAGCGCTAATAAAAATATCTTTAAATCGTGCTTAACTCTGTACTGGGGCGGGCCGCCCTGCGCGGGCGCCACGTGCGCGAACAGATATAGCCGTCGAGGCGATCATACAAGGAGCTCTGTATCGCACTCGCCCATGTGGACCTCGTCTGACGCGGCACATGCCTAACATCTGAAAACATTTGACTTCAGCTTGATTACAGTTCATATCTGTATGCTTAGATGTGATTAAGTTTATGAACTTTTTAGAACATCTACTAGCTTTGTTTACCATTTTAAAACCATTTCAAAGATGGAAACATGTTAAAGAGCGTAGTCAGTTGATCGAATCAGGTCACCTAGATATTGTACTCCGACAAAATCAAATATGTATTTTTAGGATTTAATAGTAAGCGTCTTAAGTTCACTTATTTCAGATATGTATATAATAATTTTATTTGCTATCATAGCTTTCATGGGTAACTCGCCTATTTGAAGGATCCTGCCTATGTGTTGGGGGTCATAACAATCGTTCCCCGGCAGAGCATGGCAGTAAAGTCTACCTTATCAGCTAATTAGTTCGATTAAGAGATATTATATATTTTTAATTCAGCTCCGTTACAACTATCTAGACAGAGTGTAAACAAAGCTGATTAGGTAAAATGCCGTCATATTTATTTAAATACAGAACGCTATAATATAATCTGATTAGTGAAATCTAAAGCTTTCGTTGAATTTCACCTATTTAATTATCTTTCCACAGGACCTACCTTATATTTCGGAAAGGCCGCTGTTCCTAGTAACTTTACATTTGCCCGTGGGAAACTATTTACTACATAGATTTTTAGTCTTTGACTTTGTTGTCTTATCTTTCAATATTAGTACCATAATCTACGACGTCATATTACGCCCATAGTGTCAATGTAAGTAATAAAAATTGTTAGTTTATTAGGGCGTTTGCATACAACGCGATTCACGGCAGCTGTAAGCGCGTGTCCGTCGCAGCTGCGATTTGCGTCGCGGTGTGAAAAGCGACGTACCGCGATTCACATACGGACCAACTGTACTGGTGATTTCATAGGGGTGCTATATTAACACCTTGCCTAAATCAAATGTAGAGAAAATTGATATTAATACATATTTAATGTAAAAGTATACGAAAAATTAATCAGAGCTAATCATTTTATAAGCTATTAAAATCATAGGTATGATCTATCATAATTAGGTAGATGGAGATATCCCGACTTCATACTATAAATTCGAAAGTAAATCTGTATGTCTGTCTGTTACACTTTCACAGCTAAACCGTTAAACCTTTTTTAATGTAATTTGGCATGAAGATACTTTGATTCCTCAAGAAGGACATAGGCTACTTTCACCGCGAAAACCGACATACACGCTGCCAGAGCCACGGGCAAAACTAGTAATAAATATTCACAAAATTCACTTTGCAGTTTACAGATAATGACATATGTTTAAATAGACTATAGAATAAGTAAACGCAAAGATCTATAACTAGTCAGATCTGTAGGTCAGTCTTCAAACTCACTGGCCAGGAAAAGCTTTGATGTCACAGACTTTAAGTGATGTTCTTTAATTTTGTTTGGCATCGATAACCATGCCCTGCCATCTCTGATGTGGTACACACATGAAGCTTTCCAAACAATAATAATAATTTTTGTAATATATTTAAAAATGTAATCAATATGTATATATAATGTAATAAAGAGAATAATAATAATAATAACTTCACACATCTTACACGGCCGTCTGATTCCAAACTAGGCAGACCTGCCTATTCTCAATACATATGTTCTTTACAGTGCAAATTGCTATACCAATCTTAATTCTCCAATTTAGGTTTTATGACAATAATTGGTACCGTTACTGACCAAAACTGTGATGAATTGGTGATTCACGCATCCGAGTAATTAACAAATAGAACCGCCATCTATTTTTAGTACATTATAAACAGCAGCTGGCAAATTATTTGACCCAATTAACGTATCAAACACTAAAAATAATAAAACCAGCATATTGTGTTTAACATCTTTTATGACATTCATAACCCAACGTCTACTACAAAGGCATGGTAAAATGCAACGTCTCAGAAAGTCAACAATAGCAAACAAAGTTAAAAACCCTAAACAACTTCTTTATCCGGAAAGCAGAGATGAAAAAACTATACAAATAAAGCAATAGCGCCGTCAACTCGATCACAATACTACCATATCACATCATCTGCAATTAGGGTCACAAATAATTGACGCCAAAGGTTTAAGGGCGTTTCTTTCACCAAAAAACCGACATTCATAAAGCCCTCATAAGTGAATCAAGATATCGTACCCTGATACACCTGGCTTTCACCCCGGTACTGGAACATTTTATTAACGCATTTAAAGGTGCTCGAAAAAATTTAATAATACTTTCCACGGCTCATTGATTTTGTGAATAGAGAATAGTTTGCGTACACGCCATTAGTAGTGCGAATTTTTATTGTTTCCTTAACAATATGATAAAGTGATGGAGATCTTAATTCTTTTTTTTTTAAACTTCCCTTCTGAAAATTGAAATGCCAATTTGCAAAAAAAAGCATATTAGCATATAGACGTTTTAAAAACAAATAACGTTTTTAAAATAAATATTAATGTTTAAAGTATTGAACAGTTGTAATGAAATTCAAAAAAAATAATATACGTGCTCATTAATATTAATCTTGTGCAGGCGTTTTGCTTTGGTTCCAGGTTCATGCCTCTATCAAAATCTCTTTACGAGTCATAATCCAATGTCCATTCATTAGCTACAACGAATGAGCAAAACGAATCCGGTTAATGGTCCTATAGTTCCATTATCAGAGTTAAGTACCTCTACAATAGAGGCGGCTCCCACGCATGTCAAAACACCCCATACGAAAACCATTCCCGCGCCATTTTAAATAGACCCTTTGCAAATGCTGATGCTGGTTACACAATATATGAATTATAAAAAGTTCGTTGTATGCAGTCTGGGATCTTTTTACGATGGTCGAAGATTATGGGTCGACGTCACAACGTGCGCTCGGGGTGATCCAATCCGTTTGATCCCCGGCTTTTATTGTAACGATTGTGGGAAAAATTACAAAGTTTTTGTAATAAATCTGTGGGAGTTTATAACAGTCATTGTTTAAAAGTAACTTATGTATTGTTCAGTTGGTATTTCTCATGAAGAAACAATGGTTTCTGACATAGGCAAGGTTCACATATTACGCCCTGTGGTATTGCGTACTTCATACCTAGATAGAAATACTTTATTATTTACATTATGAACAATGAGTCAAATGCAATTTTCTTTGGCGTTTCTTTACCACAACTTTTTTTCCGTGTGGAAACCCCCATGGGCTGTTACCCCACCAGGGTTTGTTGTCGGTGGCGAAACGGAGAAATATTTTCTATTTGTCAAGATTGGCATTGCCACATTTTCCGTCTCTTTCCGCAATGTATATTGTGTTGACTTTGTGGCAACCCTGAGCAATAAGTTGTTGCTTTGGGATTGCCACAAAGTCGCTAATTAATGCCCGATTTACTTATAATTATTTTTTGTTGGATTATATAAATTTGAAATAGAAAAAAAGTTGTATTGTAAAACCGAATATATATATTTTTTTATGTAAGAGGGGACAGACGAGCAGACGGGTCACCTGATTGAAAGTGACTATCGCCGCCCATGAACGTCTGCAACTCAGGAGTCACAAACGCGTTGCCGGCCTTTTAGGAAGGAGTACGCTCTTTTCTTGAGGGTTTGAAGGTCGTATCGGTCCGGAAATACCGCAGACGATAACCTGTTCCACAGATTCGTTGTGCGGGGCAAAAACTGTCTCGAAAAGCGCACAGTAGTGGAGCGCCAACTGTCCAGGATGAAAATTTCGAAAATATCTAAAACGCAACGTCATTGGTGGAACAAAATGTGACGTTAATTTTCACTCGACGTCTTCTGTCAAGTTGTTTGTACGGTTTCACATTACGTTCATAGTTTTTTGTGTTAAAGTATTAAACTGATTATTGATATTAAATTGTGAAGAAAGACTTAACACAATGACTGAAACCGATTTGTCAAAGCACAATCAGATGATCTTTCTAAAATAGACGTGTTTATCATGATCATAAATTGTTTAATACATATAACTTTCTGTATTCTTTTCAATCCGTAACCCAGAAATAAAATTAGAAAGGTAAATAAAAATAATTTAGTTACTACTACTAATAGGTAAATTTACTTTCCTCTCACTCTAATAAGTTAGGTAGGTATATGTTTTCATTTGTAGGCAAGCATAGACAATACTCTTATGAATAAATACCTAGTATTAGATATTGAGAATATAATTATTTTAAGTACATACTTATAGAGCTGAAGGCGGTGGGCCAGAGTGAAATACTGCCTCAACCAGTCCAGCACACCGAAGCTTCTTCGATTCCAATTTGACTTTACCCTCTAAGTGACACCGAAACTGGACTTCGCTCGATATGTCGATGCCTAGGATTCATGCCTCTCGAACCGAGATGATACGACAAATGGTATCTTCTTTGGGGTGAACGCAGAGACCTGTGTCTTTTTTGGGTTGAACTGGACTAGATTTAGTCGGCCCCAATCTGAAACCTCCGCTAAGGAAGTTTAAATTTCAGACACAAGTTTGTTGATGACGTTGCTTTCCCGAGAAATATTGGGGCGGCCAGTGTAAAGGGCATCTCCTGTACTATCATCTGCATAGCAATGGATGCTACTAGTTTGCAACATGTCATTGATATGCAGAAGAAAGAGTGTGGGTGATAGCCACAGCCTTGTGGTACAAAAGCATTTACGAATTTCAAGTTTGAGCATGCACCTTAATGCTTCTGTCTGGCAAGGAAACTGGTGACCCAATTACACAATTTCTCGGGAAGCCCAAAGGAAGGGAGCTTCGAGAGAAGCGCCTCATGCCAAATCCGAACGAAGGCCTTCGCCATGTCCAAACTAACCGCACAAGCCAAGTGTGTGAACAGGTGTATTATAAAGACGAGAAGATCACCAGCTGAGCTATCCCGGCGAAAACCATATTGTCAGTCACTGAGTAGCTGGTGATCATCCAAGCACCGATGGAGCTGGCAGTTGATTATGGATTCTATAATCTTAGAGAATAAAGGATTATGGCTATAGTTCTCTAGTTGGAAGGGTCAGAGCAGGCACCATTTTTAGGGATCGGGTGCACAAACGCCATCTTCCAAGAGTTGGGAACGTCGCCTTGGGAGTAGGAGTCAAACCGGTGTCAACTCCGGAGCACACGTCTTCAACACGATAGGAGAGATTCCATCGGGCCCACACGACTTATGAATGTCGAGGGAAGAGAGTGCTTTGCGCACTGATTTTTGTGTGATCCGGATTTCCGGCATATGGCTTTGGCACCGCGGCATGGTAGGCGGTACGTTTCCTTCGTCATCTAAAGTCGAGTTGGATGCAAAAAGCTTGCCTAGGAGATCGACTTTCTCCTTGGCATCATAAGCCAACGAATTATCTCCCATCTGCAGGGGTGGAAAGGATTGGCTACAGAAATAATTTCGCTCTATGTATTCGTTTTCGGGGGCCCATGAAGATGGGGGCCCTAGGCACGGGCCCCGTGTACCCTTATTGTAAAGACGGTACTGCGTACTCCCTATTCGGAGTGTTTAGTTACATAATATTGATTGTACATAAAGACTTTAACTTTTTGAACCTGCTACAATCTCAGATCTGCTATATTAGGTATTTAATAGAAATAGTTTTCCTTTTCACATTCTTTGTTAACAATCAATACTGTTGTCTTTTAATCAGTACAAACGTTACTCAAAAACCTAATGTTAATCACCCGGAGCCGCGGGCGGTAATGTAAAACTGTCACGTGACCGCCACGCGCCGTTACTTTCCCCGTACAGCTCACCTCACCCCCTCGCCTTCATTACTGCGATTGCTAGGTATTTGTTCACAATGCACGCACGTGGACCGACGTCTGCATTATTAAATGCCTTTTACGCTTATTGCGAATAAAACCCCTCCGCCTACATGGGAACCATGTTATTAATCTCTAGATGGGGTTGCTACCCGAGACGGCTATATTAAATTGATATAACCACTGATTAACAAAAAGAGCAGTTGTAAATTTAATTGACCCTCAAAGTTTGTGACTGTTTAAAACTATGCACATATTAATCGACAACACACATCTAGAATTAACTAGAAGTTTAAAGGAACATAAAATGTAAAAGTAAATACCTACTTCTCTCAACCAAGAAGTCTCTCGAAACGTCGAAAATCTCCTCTCAAACTCAAAAAAAGTTTCCTCCTTCTTAGACAAAACTGAGGAAAATGAATCAGAAAAATATTCAGAAAAGTCAATAATAAATCGAATTTTAAGTTACATGATGTCTAAATAGCTAAATGTTCATATGTCTAATTTATGAGAACCCAGAACGACAGGTCGCTGGACCATTCATGTCTTGACGTAATAAAAACTGACGTTCTGGAGTTTCCGTTTCAGTCGAACATCGAACAAAATCATTCATTACATCAATTCTACCACCACTCACTACAAAATAAAACGGTATAAGAGGTATATATGCTCAATATTATTTGGTTTGAATTCGATACAATAGTCTTTTTGTAACTGATTATTTATGCTTAGTCAAGTCTAAAAGTTTTTGATAATTTATTTATTCGATGTATTTACTTTTCAAAGCAGTCCTGCCCATACGAGAAACGAAAGATGAAAAAGAAAATGTCATAGAGTATAGTGAAACTTTAAATGAAAAACAAATGGAGTTTCTTAATTCCTATATTAGTTACTTTCTTTGACTCTAGGAGTGCCATGCTTCGGGCTGTGAGCTGACTTGACCAAAGTGATCCCTCGGCCTCACAGAAAACCGGTATTACCTAGGAAATTCCTCCGCATTCCTTAATTGAGTGAGTGAGATTACCGGAGGCCAAGAGCCCCTCTTTCCCTATTTCTGGAGGGGCGGGTGATCCAAGGCCAGCAACGGCGCGCTTGTGACTCTCTAGTTATAGGTGTCCATGTGCGGAGGTGGTCACTTACCATCAGGTAACCCGTCTACTCTGTTGACCATTACCATAAACACCATAAACAGAAACTAAAATATCTTATGTAAACGTTGCTTAAATTCAATTGTTCTATAAATTGCCTCACAAACGTTACCGATATTTATATATATATATTTATCTCATAATCATGATATTGTATCTTCGTGACCGAAGTTTGTCTGCTAGGTCCCACGGGCGGTTGTTTCACACAGGAACAATTACAATCTCACGCGCCCGCGCCTACTTCAAACCAAATTATACCGCGATTTACTTTGGAAACACCATCAGTCTCACGACTGGTGCATACCTCTGCAATGCCCCTCCATTAATAGATGCACCTTGATATTGAAATTTATATTTTATGTGTCTGAAGTTGATGGACCGTACTTGCATGTGAGTAATTAAGTAGTAAATCACACACACATACATGCATCCACAACATAGCATATTACTAGGACATAGTTCATAAAAGAACACAGTTAGACAGGAATAGAGAGCGCAGAACCCAATAAAAGAAGCTGATACGATTACTGACGCACAACGTTTTCTCTTATTGTCTGAAAAGCTGTTCCTGTTTTTTAAGATATACAAAAGACAGTGTTCTGTTATTTTTTTGCGACTAAAATTAAGTGAGTACATAGGAGATGACTCGCCTTCACCTGCTTCCATAAAAGCCTTCACTCCCATAAAACAGAACTTATATTTTGGAAAAAAACTACTCTATGACCTGTTCTGTACCTCTGACAATGTATATATGTCATAGTGAATCCGATTGATATAGAATCTGTTGATTAAGTATGGCTTGAAAGCGTAAGAAAGTAACTTTAAGTCACTTTTGCATTCATAATACTAGTTACAATAATATAAAAGTGTTGTATGTCTCAAGGAGCAACCGCACCGGGCGGGCTCATCATTCCGTGCACAAACGATTCGAGCGCTCGTAATTATCCCGACCTGTGACCCGGGCAGCACCGCTCCCACGAACAATGTTCACACGAGAAATCACCGCTTCCCATCGGAACCACAACTTTTCGTACATTTTTCAAATTTTTTGTTGCTTCATATCAGGTAACAACGTGAAAAACATAACAATAAAAAAAACACGTACTACAAAGTACATAATACGACTAAACGTACTTAGATAGTACACAATAGCACAATATACAATCAGCTGAACGCAGTCCACACACTCAGTTGCATATTCTTGTTGCGTCCTTTAAAAAAATTCTTTCTTTTTTTCGCGTTAAAGTATACTCGAAATCACAGAACAGAAAATAAAGGTATTCACTGTTCTGTGCTCGGAATCTCTAGAAATTTCTATCGATCTACTAAAACATCACGTTCTCTATTAATCGCTCAAAGACTCAAAGTAATATTTCAAGTGCGTGCTGTGTATTAGATCTGAAAAGTAGAGTCGATATGACTATAATAGTGCACGCGCCGCCACGTGGCGGAAAAGTGCGTAATGAGCCCGCACCTGCACTGGCCGAATTAAGGGATTTCTTGCGCCCTCCCGTGGGATAGGAGGGAGTATATCACACGAATCGAACTGTTTGTTCTGTGAATAAGCACACACTGAGGAACAATAACGGCTAGCCAATATTGATAGTGGGGTTGATTAGGACCTCTTGGTTGGTTTATTACTTACTTCGAGCGTAGTTTTGACAAATTAAGTACAATTTTAAATATTATTAAACGTTGGAACGTTATTATATTTAAATCTTAAAAATTTACTTACAATCCGAAAAGAAAAGTTGTGCAATGAAATAAAGGTTTTTTAAAATGACTGACCGATACGAAAGTTATTCATTAGATTAGATTAGATTAGAGTTATTGAAAGCTCAAAACAATTGTTTTGGAGAGCACTTAACCGCATGAACACAATGGGTATACAGCTATCGGAACAAATAACACTGATCAATCAGAGGGTATCACGCGATGGGAGCGGCACGCGCCCGGCACTCCCACGCCACGCGTAAGGGTAAATACGGCCTCCACCCCGGGCCCCGCTTTAATGCGAAGACTTTAATGGAAGTAACAACATGCAATATGTAACAATGATATACCTTATGTGGAATCCAGAAGTAAGATTTATTATTATTAACTGCATTCAAAGTTAAATAAAAAGTAGTATTTAAACAGGAATACTAGAGGCATAAATATATAAAAGGTATTCTGAATTCAATAAATAGAAATAGTAAGTAAATAGGAGGCTGCAAAATTAGTTTTTTAATACACTTTTTATATCATGGAATAGGTATGTAACACATACATTTTTATAATTGGTAGGCCCCGGACCCTGTCATCATTAGACATTAGTAAATGTACCACATAATGTAGTCGGTGTGCATTGCCCATTAAAAATAATAATAATAGACTACTAATAGACATTAATCGCTATGACTTCAGATGTGATTGTTAAGATGAATTTCTAGGCTGTCTTTAAAGAACCTTAGAGAGAAAACGTGGTCTTGAGTAGTATCTGTATCAAACGGAACGTCAAATCAAACAACTGAAATTTGCTATCTCGTTGCCGAGAAACTAGTAATCGTCTTTTAAGAAAAAGAATAATTGATCACTAATTATTCATTCTTTGATGAGTATAATATTGATGATGCCCACAATTTGCTTTTACGGCAGTCTTTAGATTCGGATACATGAATTACAGTTTAAGTATTAACAGATGGGTATTAAACTAAATATTTTATTAGAGTTATATCATGATTATTTAGTAATTGGATGTTATTAGTCGTATTCTTCGTACCATTAACCCAAGAATAGAAACAGGTGAATAATATATACTCGCCGTATTCCCGGTTCCGGCAATTACACTGTAACTGGACTGATGTTCTGACAATTGCAGTACAAAGTATTTCCGTTATTACTAATTTCACACCTTCGATATTGTTTAGTAGACGACTGTGAGATTCAAGACACCTGCAGATACAAAGGATGTTGACAACTTTTTTTGTATTTAAGAACACTTCATATTTACGTAGTCATAAAAACACTACGTATTGTCATCGGCCGAGGTGTTTATGCCCACGTCTCCTGCACCATTTTTTTAATGTCTCAGAAATTTGGATTCCGTAAATAACCATTCCGATATCTTCATGGAGTTGGTTTGAATATTTTAGCTATAGCCTTTAAACATAGGTATATGTGAATATCTAAATCACGTTTAAAAAAACAACATTGTTCTTTCATATGAAGCCGAATTTGAACCCCACCTTGGGAATCGTTTCGGAATCATCATCCTTTCATCTTTAGTAATCTCATTTAAAAAATATCACCTTTGAAAGAAATTAACAAAATGTACCTACTCGTATATGTGTCATAGAATACCTCGGAAATATTATCAATCTGGGTAAAGCTCATTTTAGTGTACCTATAAAAGGTCACCAATTAGGAAACATATATTAATAAAAATAAATAGATCTAGAACCCATCACATACTTTATTGGTTCACACTTGTCTCATTCTTGCTTCCATATCTTTTTTCTTAAGAAATCACAAAAGATACAAGGCCAACTAAAACAATTTTCTATAAATTGCACTGCAAGGTGTCTAGACGCAAGATCGATAAACGGACAATAGATCTCTACGTGAGAGAGACAATGCAACCACCGGTGAAATACACAGCTCTTGTTGTGCTTAATGTGACAGGTAGCCGTGACGACACGTTTACATAACTATTGGTCATCTTGGACATAAGGTGTCTATTTAAATAGTTTTTATTTATGAGAGGACTTGAATGCAAAACCCTTAAATGCTCATGAGATCCGTGCGATATTAATAAAACATGACAATATCCTATAATTGATCACTTGACAAACACATTCAGACACATAAAATGATCTAAGTATTTTATGAGTATTTCATTTACCTAGCTAGCATGACCTAGCTTTGATACTTAATCATTGGCATTTGTTTGTTAATAAAGATAATAACGATTAAATATTGTAATGTGCATAATTAAATGTTATGTTTATTTATCATTGCTCCCTTGAAATCAAACTAAAAAATTTGTTAAACAATTCACTTATTGATGTTTAATGTGTATATAATATGAATTATCTAACCAGTTTGTATATGTTTAATGTGTATATAATATGAATTATCTAACAAATTTATTCCACGAATCAGAAAAAAATTAGATTAGAACTAGGTATATAATAAGAAATACTTTTCTCACGAACTATCCTATTAACAAATGAAATAGATTTCTGTTGAACTGATACTACAAAACAAATAGGTAGTACTTAGCTATAAAATGTGGTTCAATTAAATACAGTAGCGACTTTAATCGAACTATCGTTAATAAGTAATCGAATCAAAAATATGTAGGAGGATGTTTTATTTATTCTCACTAAATTTAATGACTTCCAGACTTTAGCGTTTTATTTATTTTTAAATGATATATCCCTAGTTTTGGTATGTATATTATAAACTGTATTTATGTTACTTTCTAACAACAAAAATTGCTTTATTGAACTTTGCAACCGAAAATCAATACTAACAACCCACAGTTAATCTAACTTCAAGGTAATATAGAAGAGATCGCTGATAGTGACAACCGCAGTATCACGAAGAGCTGTTTTTGCTTTTGAGTCACAAGAGAATCACAGGAACACTGTATTGGTAATTAACAATAATGATAATAATGACCTATCATTCTGTACTTGTTTTACTAATCATTCATTTAAATATTTTTCCTGTAACTGTCTTATTTGCTATTTACTGCTGTTGTCCTTGATAGTTGAGTCAAACTGATTTTGCAGGCTATTTGTAGTGTGAGTCAGGATGTGTGTGTTCAGGATTATTTAAATTAGTCACCAGCTTTTATAATGTTAATCTCCATAGGTATTGTAGATTTATCGGGCTAGATTATCGTAAACATGTAGGATGTTTACAACTTCTTAATGGAGATTCAAAGTACATGCCCAAGTGATTTTTGAAAAGTGATAGGCACTTGTTGATAAATTATTCCTGATAAAAATACGGAACTACTATCTATTTGAATATAATCTATCCATTAGTAGATTCGTCTGCGATTTTTACTAGGATTAAACTAAGTATATGCTGTTCACAACTCCTTTCTATTTTTTAACCTCAACTAACGGGAACTTAATTGATAAGTAAGTCAGCTAGTATCTCTTTATCAAGTATCCAATATTTCTCACGAAATGAATATTCATTCTTAATAGAACATTCACATAATTGTCAAGATTTTCATATCTCTTTTTGTCTGGACAAAAACAAGCGACTACTGCGACTACAGACAAACTCACCTAGAACTGGTAATAGTGGTAATGATATAAGATTTATATCCTGCTACAAATTAATTGAGTTACGGTGCTATACGTAATTTAGGTATTTATATAACCGCTTTATCGGTTCGACCACACAGAGGTCCGAATCGCAATAACACTGGGCATAAAAAATAAACCAGCAAAAAGTTACGAGTCACCTTGGAGGCGGGAGTAAGGAACTCAGGTAGTGAATTGCTTCATTTTGAGTTATTTCGACCGCCATTTAACGTTATAATGTAATTCGATAAATTGGAACGTACGTTGTGGTCGACGAACAGTAATCACGTACTGTAATAAATGTCCGTTGAATCAAACCTCTATCTGACAGTACTGTTATTGAGTAGCGTGAAATTGTTACAAAAAGTTATTTTTTTTGTATTGGTGTGTTTTGGTAATAGCTTTCAGTGGTCCCAATTTAGTAGGTAAAGACTTTTTGTAACCTTATTAATTATGGTTTTATGAGGTCTATTCTAAACAAGATTTGAATTAAATTCGCTTTATAGAGAATCTGTATTTTTATAGATGTGACAATGTTCATATATCACAGAGAAAACTACTCCAGCAGTAATACTATTTCAAATCGATGAGTTCCTTGACTTTACACTACTTATGTTTTTTAATCTAAACAGCCTATTGAAATCCACTAAAATAGATCTGATTTTATCTAAAAAAAATGTAATTATTTTTGAAAGCGGTTGAGTGGCTCAAAAGGTTTTTTCATTCGCAGACGCAGCCTCCGGGACCTGTTGCCGTGGGACAGCGACAAGTGGATGCCTTCACGTACGGCCATTGTTCGTCACCCTTGGACAATGCGCACCTCCCCCCACTTGCCATGGCTTAGGAACCCCTCACCATCATAAGAATATTTATAATACCTACTAGATATGTTTAAATTATGTTATAATTAACTTGCTAAAAGAATATGTGACTTCACGATATTTAATTTCTGTTAACTTCATTATTTTTAATATTTAAACTTTATTATACATGTTACTTCTTAGTAATCTAAATTATTTTTATTTACATTTATTATTGTGATACTTGTAAATGTTTACAATTTGGTCATAACAACTTACTTAAAATCAAGTAACAAGTTGTTTGCAATGAGGTTTAAATATCAGAAACGTTATTAAAACAAATAAAATTAAATCTAAGAAACATTTAGAACCCAGAAATAAAGAAAATTACAAACAGGACAAAGTGCATGTCACGAGCGCAACGGCCTTACTCAGGGCCGCCCAGCGCAGGCAGACACGGGCGCCCACCGTCGGCTGCCATGGGAAAAATCAGGCTTCGCCGCCCCCGCCCCCGCCCCGCGCGCCCATTGGACCGCCCGGTCCCGCCCCGCGTCCCACCAGCGCCCATAAATATCACACCGCTTCGCGCATCTCCTCATTCCTCGCTTGCATCTCGCGGCTGACGCACGTTACGCGCTCGTGTTTACGTTTAACCTCAGTGTCCGTGTTAGTGACTGTCACAATGAAAGCAATAACAGCAGTGTGCGCGACCGGCGCCTCCGTCCCGGCAATCGCCAGCGGTCGAGTGCAACGGCATCGCGATGGAGAAAACGCAGAAATACAGATGTATCTCTCTAAGCTACAGGACTTGGTGCCCTTTATGCCCAAGAACAGAAAAATCTCCAAATTGGAAGTGATTCAGCACGTCATCGACTACATCTGTGACCTGCAGTCAGCGTTGGAGAACCATCCTGCAATGGATCAGTTTGACGCTGAGGGAGCCCTGGCGTCTCCACCTTGCGCAGCGGCGCCACAGCCGCGCCCACAAAGGCGACCATTAGGCCCCCGTTCTGCACCAAACACTATCCTGCGCAAGTCAGCCCCTAGCCAAGAACACAGAAACCAAACCGTAAGTTTCATTTAATGTTATCATAATACTAATTAACTAAGGCATCTACATACTTAAATTTATAGCAACTATAATACTTAATTAGTCTATATGTATAATTAGTGCACACATTAGAATTACACATGCGATAAACTAAAAAAGGCTTTTTCTGAAGTATTAACATTAGTAACCACTAAATTGATGATTCATATTCATTAAAGAAAACGCCAACTTTAACAAAATATTCTTAGTTGTGTCGTTGCAAATAATAGAGCTAGTTATTTTAGTTACACTAGTTTATAGCAAGAGATAGGTACCTACTATTGCATAAAAAGTAAATGAAATCGGCCATGTCGGTGTTTTTGCGGCGCGCGCGCACCTGCGCGTTTCGCAAGCGCGGGAAGGTAAAAGCGGAGATGTAGAGTTTCACAACACAGCAACATACGCATCATCTAATAAAAAGAAATGTTTAGATAAACAATCGACTGTCAAAATATTTTGGGAAACATTTGTCAAGAAATCAAAAATCTTTATTACCAATTATATGTATTCTGTATCGAGGGCGCTAAGCAGTAGTTTTGACAAATGTTGTTCATTATGTAATATAATTATTTATTTACAGCCATAAGTGTAGGACCTTATCTCGCCTATACCTAGTAATTATTATGAGAACATTAAGATTTTGGTAAATAAGCAGTCAGTCTAAACCGCTGTTCACGCATGCGTGACTGCTGTTTTGAATTTCAGCCTTGAAGCGCGGCCACCTGCGCCGGCGCTGCGTAAACGGCCGTGTACTGACACACAATCTGAATATTCAACACATATTTATCTTACTCGTTTAACGTTTTGCCTGACACTTGTGTGTGATTGCCATTTCATTCCCATTTACCGTGGCAGAACATTTAACAAAGTACTGTACTACTGTACTGGGGCTGTGTTAATGCAGATAATGTCTGTATCTAAAATATGTAAATAGCTAGATACTAACTCTAGAAGAGCTAAAAATGAAGCGGTTCGAGTATAAAATTTTTGTGAATGTCAGCGCGCGGCAGGTGCATCTCGAAGGATTTATTCGTGCGCTTTGCGACTACGAGCCTCAGGCGCAATGCGCGCTCGTTAATACTTGCTCGCGCCACGTAAATTTTAATCACTGCCAGTTGTTGGAACTGAGGAAAATGTTCAAAACAAGCGTGATTTAGGAGACGCAAGACGTGCGCTCAGTAGTAACAGAAATGCGTATAAAATAATTATAGGTACTTACTTATGTGCTCACTCCACTTATATCACCGCTCCAACACAATATTATTATTGTATTATGCTTAATTAATGGCCTATTACGTTTTTGCTCCATGAGTTGTTAAAATTTGTAAACCTATGTGGTCTTTGCTTATTGTTCTTTTTTAGGCGCCTTTTAACAAAGGCGCCACATTCCTCATTCATTTAATAACAGAGCGTTAAACTTTTTTAGCTTAATTAAGTATAAACAGTCCTATAGACACAAACAAATGTAACTTTAAAATCAAGAAACGTGAGACAATAATGTGAAACATAAATAAAATTTATAAATGTTATAAAAACACAACAACATCTAAATAAACATCTATTAATTATTAGTCGCGGGCGCCGGCTGTATCAAGATATCCAAAGATATTTACTAATATACCGACGACTATAATATCGGAATGTCGACTAATCGGGCCGCATTCTTGAATATAAAATGTAGAATTTTCATTCGTACAAGGACATTGAATACGATCTTCGTTTTCTAAGATACGAAACAGTGTAAACCGAGTATTCGCACCGATTACAAAGAATACTAAGGCCTGAGGCGATCGTGCCGGAATTTGTATCTCCATCGTGTTCGTCGTGAGGCGGCATTTTACGACGGTATCTCGTGGGCCATCAGGCATCGTGTGCCACAAAACCCCGGTCACGAGCATACGCCACGGTTACTATAGTGACTGTAATTGTTGCTCGCAGCTGCTTGCCGCAAGCGAAGGCGTGATATCAATCTTTACCGCTGTCTTGATAGCTCTCTCTACAACGATGGCATAATTATCACTTCTGATAATCATCCTTCAGCACCAATCCGAACTACCCCATGTGCCCTTATAGTTGTTTGACTTTTCACTTCGACCATAATAAGCTGCTAAGTACCGTAATGACGATTGTTAAGCGTGTAATCCGTTGTGGCTGCACCCCCAACTTTGCCGTTATATATAGGGTGGAACCCTATCCATAACCATATTTTTAATAGAACATTGAGAACGATACAATAATTGATTTGAATTTATAGAAGAGAGACTCATTCTTCCCTGCCTTATCGACGTTATAGTTTGTCAATATCACTTAAACATCCAATTACAGACCCGCATATTGCCTCTTGTGTCCAATTGAAGGACCCCTGTCGTTAATTAAGTGGAAGGCGAAGATTAAACATATCAGTTAATAAAATTTTAAATGTAGGTATCTATTAAGATCATGTATGTATGTGGTGAATAATCGCAAACGAATAGTGGCTGCATCGTGTTAGGCCGCCGACGCACCCACGCAGTGTACGATAGCGAGATGGCGTCCATCCGACAGGCGACACTAACGAGCCGCCAGGTGTCCGCGTCTCCCCCGCCCACGCTGTCCGCTCCTCTGAATATCTTTGTCTCCACGTACCTCGAGCATAAATCGCGCACGTGAAAGTTTTACGATCACCTTTATGACTCCGTACTAATAAACCGCACAGCGTCGGCAAGTAGACAATACAACTTCACCGCAAAATGTCTCGGCTGCGTCTTGCATTGCACACGTGCAGCGATTTCGCCGATCGCATGGATTCTATCGACGATGGATCGATCGAGGGCATTGTGCGGGTAACGGTCGCTCGCAGCTGCGTGTGAACACACGTGACGTTGCCGGTGGTCGGATAGCTAAATAAATGCGATGAACACTGAACATACCTATTCATTATTCGGCCGACAATGCTCGTCTCATAAAGAGATTTCACGTGTGCGCACTCGCAAAGTCCCGATCCGTTCGGGACATGTGTGCTCTCCCTTCGGTATGTGTCCGTAAATAGGGTGTGGCCACGTGCGGTCGTTCAGCTGTGTCGCGGATGCACGGACGGGAAGCAGTAATCTAACACTCGCTGATACTCAAAGTTACACTACAACTGATGAAATACTGTCATTTACCAAGCTTCTATTCTTACTAGACATTACTTTTCAAACAATCGCTTTCGAAAGTAAACCAGTCGGAAACAGAATGTCCTATTGTTCTAGTCTTGAAACAAGCACATATGTGATGACAGATGGCCGGACGCGGACGCGAGCGGGATGCGCATATGCCACACGATATACTAGTACTAGATATTTGTCGCAATCACTAATAACTACAACAAAAAAAAAAGTAAGAATATGCCTTAAAGATGACGCCTTATTACTTATTCCTAATACATAAAAAGAAACTATCGTTACACTAACGCTGTAGGATGTAACATAGTTACATGCGCGCGCATCTGTGCTTTGATTGGTATAGCTGCACCCTAGCTAAGCTATAATATTCAACTATTTAATATGTACAGTTTGTATATTGTCCTAAAGGATACGTTTTATTGATATTCTTTTACTCAATTTTTTTTTGTTTGTTACAGACACAAGATAAGCAGAACCAGCTGGATAGGCCTTCATGCTAAGAAGCAGTTAGCTTAAGAAGAGAGACGATATAATTTATGGTAATGTTTATATACCTCGAGTGGAGGCGTCGCTTCGCCACGGGTGGCTGTTCTCAGCCCTCGGGAAAGAACGAAAAGCTCGCGGCTCCAGTTCCAGTGAAGATCATCGCTCACGGTGATATCCTATGCACGATCTCGTTACGATCAGTAAACTACTTTAATATAATTGTTTTGTGGCATTACACGCAGAAGACTTGAGCATTGCAATGCAATAGGTTTAACCGCGGTTTGCGGTTTCTTTTGTTATAATGTTTTGTGTAAAAAGCTTTACTAGATAGTAGTGTAATGAATGTAAATTTTCCATATTTGTAAATAAGTATGTTGAGTGTTTTATGCAACACCCAGGGACAACCTGTCCCGAGTGACATGATATATTTTGTATTAAATAGATACTATTCAGAACACTACACGTACAAAATGCCGTAGTCTTTCACATTGTAAAAAAAATTTAGAAAATTAAAATCCTATGTTTTAGTTTATAAACCTAATGCTTCCATTTATATCAAAGATGTGAAACGATTAAAAGTCGTGTCACGTATAAAATTATATATATCTTTTTAAGTTATTATGAGTGATTTTGCAATGCGATTTTGTTTTTAAGTAAATAATCAAATATTTTATGCAAGTGCTTCACACAAATTTTCTATTATTAACTTATGATTTGTGTTTAGCACATTACTTTGTAAATAATGTATGTATGTAATAAAAGTGAATATAAAAAGAATTTTAAAAATACTGAAATCCTTTGACACATGTATGATTTTATTTTGAATATTTAAGGTGAAGATGCTTTAATTATCTTTATATACATAATTATTACTTACGGTGTATTATAATTTTAAATAGACTGTTATAGTTTTAGTTGAGGTGCGTTAATAATGATCAAATATGCGTTGTTAGTTGAGTATGTGGTACGATTTGTGGTGGTGATTGTTATGAATAACTGTAATTAATCTAACTCCACTCGAACACTGAGGCAGCTATAGTTCCAACTAAGAGTCACAAATTGTATATCTTGATTGCATTTCACAATGCTAATCATCCACATTTTCCTTTATTATTTAGTTTATATAAATTGTGCACTGATTTTCTATTAAGTACCATAAAGATGAAACAGAAATAAAAAAAAATATTAATTGCTATTCGTTATCTTTTATTTTATCTCCTATTGAGAAGAACACTATGCTGTTGGGACCTACCTACCAAATTTGCAGTTTGGTTGTTGCACGATCAACCGTTGAAAATGTACCTACGTTATTTTAGATAATATTATTATGTACTAATATCAAAGAAGTATTTTTACCAAAGATAGCATAGAAGAATTTCAATTAGCTTTCTTATATTTTGAGTTTGATACTGAATGAGACAATTTAATAAGGACAGTATTACGAACAAATATAAAGCTAGGTGTAAGTTAGGTAGATACTTTTACTGGCATATGAATGTGAGGTATTTTTCTTTTTTTGTTCGTATGGCTTTCACGCCTTAACCACTGTACGGATCGTCATAAAATGATGTCATGTATGTATATTCTGGGAGTATAGAAAGACTCACAAAGGAGTACTTATCACAGATAAAAAAAACTGACTTTTGTGGGAGCTAAAATGCTAGTAGCACCTACCTAAGGCAATATATTCCATAATGTAATTCTTTCGAAATATAGTAAGTAAAAAATATATATTCATATATAAGATAAACGTTTTGATAGGCCACCTTAGTTTTTTTTTAACATGTTTTAATCACTATAGAATCAAAATGCGTTTGTTAAAAAGTAATTGTAGACAGACATTTTTACTGCAAATGTTAAATTCTTACATAACGGACATTGTACCTACCACCTATACAACGAACAAATGTAGTCAATAATACGTACTCGTATATGAATGCTCAAAGACAGTTAGTACCTATATAGAATTTTAAATAGTGATATCATGTAACTTAAGTATTGTAACTTACATTCATACACCGAGAAATGAAAATATCTCCAATCAGTTAAAGAGCATGACTAGCAGCTATTTACCTTAATAATTAACAAAAGAAGTAACTACGAACTTTCCCAACTTTCGAAGTAACTCAGGCTCGAAACACCTGCACACTTTGACTTTACGACCTTAAATTTAGGTGTGAATACGAGATATGAATACATAATTATAATATGTAATTACTTCATCTTTTGAAGGATTTCTATTTATCTTATATAAGACGTAGGTACTTAATACAAAAGTGAATCAGACACCAATGAACATGACAGCATGAATTTCTTCATTACTAATATTGATTTATTAGTATATAAAATGTCATAATGCTGATTAGTTTACACATTTCTCTAAAAAGTTTCATTTCAACACGGATCCAGCGAGATCACGCGATTGCATCACGACCAATTATCGCAACTACAATATTTGGTCAGCTGCGTACATAATGTACTGTGAACTTCAATAACAAACATTTATCATGCCATTTTCTACTTTACCACAAAGTGGTAAAACGGAATTTACGCCAGCAATGTTATCGCATTATCAACAAAGCAATTTGTACCGTGATACGATAGCAGTAAGTTGAATACGGTACATTGCATATACAATACATAATTGTTTTTGGGAAGGCACGTTTGTTCGTCAAACATTAGCTCGATGCCGTCACACGAACAATGCGGTTAATTACTGACTGATGGTTAACATAGCAAAATATTACACAAAAAAATAGGAATGCGACCCTGCCAGGATTCGAACCTGGAATCTTCTGATCCGTAGTCAGACGCGTTATCCGTTGCGCCACAGGGCCAGATGAAGTTTCTCTGGAAATACCCAGTCCCGTATTTATTGTGATTGAGACGGCAAAATGTGGGCGTTTAATAGGCTTCTATCAACCCCTTCGGGGATAAGGATATGAGTGTATGTATGTGTGCATAAGTATAGTTATAGAAAACTACAATTAGGTACATGCGTTGCTCTTTTATTTTTCGATTTATAATATCTACATATCACATTACCCGCAAAACCGCAAGACGAAATTAGTCGATAAAAATAGAAACAATCATTAATATTTAACTCTCCACAGTCGAAATTAATAATTTTTAAATTTGGTTGCCACGGTTATTTCTCAAATTTTCTAACATTTAGTAATGACTAAAATTACTGCTATCGTTTTTCACTTATTTTTAATACAGCTTTTGCCAAAGTACATTTGCATAAGTTTTCTCTATTAAAAGTACTTAACCTATGACAATACCGCGGTAAAGAAAGACAATCGCTTCGTCTCTCTTTCCAATTAATCGATAAGTTCACTAACCTCTAATAAGAGAATTCAAGTAAAAAGTTGTTTACATAATATATAAAAATCTAATAGAAACTTGTTAGGTCAAAGAACAAAACTGTTACGAGGCCTGCTTTGTTTGACAGCAACTATGTATGTCTGCGAGAGATGACGTAAAAGTACTTCCACAGACAGATCATACATACAGGTATATTCTCAATTTGACAGGTAGTTAAATATCAAAATGTTCAATCCTATTCCTTTTTACAAGTTTTTATTTAACTTGCAATGTTGAATGTTCTTGGAACATAAATTAGAACCATTTTCCGAAGTGGCTCATCATCAATGGCTTATTTACATATGTATCTTTACTTACAATACAATCATATGGTAAGATGGAGCTGTTCTGATAATGAAGCCACAAGCCGGCCATAGGAACGTCTGAACTAAACTATATAAACCCATTTTAATAAAACTTGTTTTTTTTTTTTTCTTAAGTTACTTAATAATATAATCGTTTTATTGTACACCAGGTATATTATATACTCGTACAATGATTAACTTAAACTAGGTTAGACAAGTTAAGTACATGTGGTGGCCTTATCGATCAGAGGCAATCTCTTACAGGCAACCGTGGTATGGAGAGAAAACGTGAAGGGGGAAATGTATAGGGTAGTGGCTGGTGTGCTAGTAAATAGATAAGAAGAGGTAATCAAAGTATTACATATATATGTACTTGTTGAACTTTGGTGCGTATATAACGTACTAGACGGAATATACTATATGCTGAACTTGTTCAACATATGGTAGATGCCGCACTTGTTCGGCACTAGCCTTGTAGTGGTGTTATTAGATAAATATAATTAAATAAATACCTACGTGTGATTTATAAGTACTAAATACATATATATTATTTATCGAGGAATTTAGTGAAATATCCTGGTATTTTTAGTTACAGCTTCTTTGACGATCTCAACAGTTTGGGGTGTGTGTCATTTAAGAAGGTGAACTATTGAATAAATATTGTATGCTGTATGAATATGAATACTGTATGGTGAATATTGTAGAGAAGAAAAAGAATATGTGCATTCCGGCGAAGGCAAATGGGTAACCACTTAAGCTTTTTGTGATATTCAGAAACATGATCATATTTGCGAAGTCCAAATATGAATCTTATGGAGAGATTTTAGAGTTTCTCAAGTTTATTCGATCGATCTTTAGTAAGATCTATATAGCTGGCATCTGCATAATCAAGGATGGGGAGAAGAAGTGATTGTACAAGTGCAATCTCAATCAAGTCGACTCAGCTCTTGTAACTGAGGACCAGAATAAGGTACCAATCCAAAGGTATCAATGAAAATCCCCAGATTTTTGAACTTATAACTGTAAGGAATAGGTGTGTCTTTGCAAATGATTTGAGGTAGTTTTGTCCAGTCAATTTTGGAGGTCAGTCTCGAATTTCCAACGACAATGACCTGAGTCTTAGTTGGGTTGATTTTCAGACCGTGGGAGTTGCTCCATCTACATATTTTATCTAGGTCAACGTTTGTGGTACTAACAGCTTCAGCCAGATTAACCGGTGATGTCCTAGAGTAGATTTAGAGATCAACCGCGTATAGGTAGTAGGAAAAAGATAGATCATTAGTGATAGGGTTGATAAAAAAACAGAGTTAAGTAGGGCAGATAACACGCCGCCCTATGGTACA